GACTATCGAATAAAACCCCGCACTTGTAAACCAAACCATGAAGTTTTCAGGAAGTTTAATTAGAGTTTAAGAGAAAAGAAGAAGCTGATCCAGCAAATGATTTGATTGGTCTCGCTTGATGCTAGTAATCTGCAGGTGTTATATCCCTCAGGGGATGATTAGAATGCGTGATTATATAATAGGGTACATACCCTTTAGCTTAAAAGCTTGGTACCTTCAAATGCTCAAAAGACATTGAAACAGGGTGCATACTATGGCAATTCCTAATACTACTTAATAATTCTTTATTGACTGTTATTCATRAAACAGTGGAACTGAAAATTCTTGCCGCTTGATCACGTCAAAAATAGCATTTAACCGAAAGAAAACGGCATTTAACTAGAACGGCGTGTCGTCCTCCCGTGACGTTTTGCGAGTGAATAAACATACCCACTTAACGAATACTGAAATTTACGCTTATTTATAGTAAAAGTAATTTTGGCTTGCATTGACCGTGGTAACTGAATATATATATATATATATTCCCTTATTTATCGAATAAATTAAGAACGGCTACTGAAAATGTTATTAATAGCTAAAGGTGCAGGATCTTTGCCGTTTGTTTGTTCTGCTTTTTCCCAGTCAACCGTCAACTTGAGCTTTGGGATCTTATTCCTCTCTTAGATTGGCAATATTGAATCACCGCTTTGTATATAAGACTTATTGGAACAAAACTAAGGACACGTCCTTTCAAACTAATGTCATATCTTACGGTAWCCTGGAGTTGTGCCTTCTTTTCAGCATTGTTATCACGGTCAGTCAAGTCAACGAAAAAAATTCAAAAAACTGCATGATGTTGTTATTTCTTTCATTGGTTTGCATAGAAAGATAGAACGCCAATATCATCAATATAATATAAAAGCAAATAACAGAACGGGAGATAAGGAAAGTATTTTCTACAGGCCACCTCCTAGTCTTGGTAGTTAGTTAGATCTTCCTGGTAATCCAATAGCATATAGGAAAGTGCAAAAAACGTTCAACATGTGTTTGAAATATTAATATTAGATGAATAGGTTTGCTAATTATAATTGAAAGAACAAGTAATGATTGCCGACAAAAGGTTTTAAAAGGTTTTAAGGTTTTTTWAAAAAAATACTCTATTTGCTAAGCCAATCTTTCGAAAAGTAATGCCATAAGTGAAAGGGAAAAAAATAGAAATTAAGTTCTAATCCGATAAAAAAAATTGTTTAGTACATTGATTATTAGTAAGATATGCTAAAAAAATAAAAAATAACGACTAAACAATGGTTTTTATAATTAAAAATGCAAATTAATCATCAGGAGAAATTTCCCTGTCACAGGAGAGAATTCCCATTTGAGGGACATTTCCCGGAGAAATTTCCCTGTCCCGTGGGAAAATTCCCACTTTGGGGACATTTCCCGGGGAAAAATCCCGGTTTCATGGGAAAATTCCCGGTCGGGTGAAAATTCCCACTTGGATGGACCCCAAAGTGGGAAATTTCCCGGGAAATGTCCCCTCCGGCGGGACATTTCCCGTAGACATATTACAATACATACAATACAATACAATACATACAATACAATATATTTTATTTACATTCTTTTTTACATTTTTAAAATAGTAAGCTTCTAATTACAAATTAATCGGTTAATTACATTTTTCTTTTCCCATATTTTTGTTATTAGTTAATTTTTTAGAATGTCATTAACATATTGGGAATATAAACCTTGATATCTCCAAGATGCATCACTCAAACCATAGTTAATCGAGTTCCGCTCCATTAACTATGCCCAAACCATATAGAAATAATTTACTATTCAAAATTTTACTTCATTACAATGCTGAACATTTTGAATTAGGTGTCATAGGCACTTTAACCTTTCGTTCAACTCTCTTGCTCTATTTTCTCAAGGTTTTGATTCACATTTTGGTCTTCGGGTATTCAGTCAACAAAGACAGGTCTCTTTTAGTCTTAATTAATGTGTGTTTTTTTGTTGTTGTTTTTTTTTTTTTTGTTTTTTTTTTTTTTTTTTGTTTTGTTTTGTTTTTGTTTTTTTTGTTTTTGTTGGTTTTGTTGGTTTTTGTTTGTGTTTGTTTTTGTTTTCTTGGTTTGAAGAAATTATATCATTGGACATTGATGCGGCACAAAACGACTCGCGCTTTTATTGACTACAAAGCTACAAAAGAAAAAGCAAATTTGATTTTGGCGGGAAGCCATCCAAATGTCACAATTTCTCGTTTTTTGATTGGTTGGTTTAGTCAATTCTCAATTCTTATTGGTTATTTATTTTACATGTGAAAATGTTTTTACGCGACGCTGATTGGTCGTATTGCTTTTTTCACGTGTGAAATGTAAAGCATAAAGATTTTGATAACAGCAGATGTACTAATGGAATTCTAGTAATATATATAATAGAGATTTTTAACGAGTTTGTATTCTAGCAAACTTACACTGAGGATATATATATCAAGTGGCAGGCGGTGATGTAAAACACGCTTTTCACTTTACTCCTAATTACAAAGATGGCGATATTTCTTTAAAAATATCGAGAGAGAAATTTTTAGGAATTTGAATCATAGAATACAAATATGTTAGTTGTTTGAAAGAAATACGTCTTCTGTGTAGATGTGGTAGGATCGGAAATGTCTGCCAACGTGACATCCTCTTCCCACTTTGATTGGTTCAGCGTGGGAAGCCATTTCAGTGACACCATAATGGTGTTTCTTCACATCGAACAAAATAATAATTGGTATATTTTGATTTCAGATAGTCTACAAGTCGGGAGCTATCTGGTCTAAACAACAACGAGGGACCAATTTACGTTTCTAGAGTTGAGGATGGTTTGATCGCTGCTCAAAAGCTCGAAGCAACTGAGATCTGATCTGATTCAGATCAGCTATCTGGAAACCAAACTGGAAAATACTACACTTAAAAGTCAGAGCTACGAAAACGAGGAACAATACAAGTCTAAGGTTGAGGATTGATTGATCGCTGTTCAAAAGCTCAAAACAACTGAGATCTGATATTCACCTCTGTCTGAAATCTTATCTCTAAAAATCTAAGTCTAAAATACTATATCAAAAACCAGAGCTATAAAAACGAGGAACAATATACGAGTCTAGAGTTGAGAATTGTTTGAATGTAATAGCGTAGATCTGATCAAGATTGTTAAGTCGAAATAATCTCATGCGACAATGATGAACTTATCAAAAACAACATCGAACTTTACGAGGACTTCTGGTCTTCTACCCGTGGAGAAGCAGCTGATGATAGGATTCACAGGGATTCTTATTCCTCTGATTCTAACTGGTAACACCCTGGTGATCGTCTCGTACAAGTCGAACCGCCGGCTTCACACACGTACCTACACGTTCCTGGTCAGCCTGGCTGTGTCTGATCTACTAGTGGGCGGAGTCAATATTCCATTGTGGATTGGCTGCATCGCACATTATGATATTTGCTACAAAGCTATCTTTACCTTCACTGATCTCTTCGGTGCCTTTGCTTCGATACTACATCTAACGGCAATAACGATCGAGCGCTACATCGCGATATGTCAGCCGTATTTCCACGAAACGTTGCCTGCTCGCTACCATAAGGGGACTCTAATATTCGTCTGGGTGTTTTCGTCGACCATGGCGTCGTTGTCCTGGTACAGGCCTTCGGAAACCTTTACACAGGCATACAGTTGTATTGTTTTCGTGGCGGGATTTGTACTTCCAGTTACTATAGTGATATCCATGTATATAGGTATCTTTAGAACTGCAAAATCGTTAATACGTCGTCAACAGAGACCATATTTGCCTGCAGTTGAGGGAGAAGGGAGGCAGCATACGCGTAAGGATCAAAAACTCGCTGTGACAGTAGCTGTAATCTGTGGTCTCTTCATCATCGCATGGCTGCCATTTTTCATCCTTTCGATCATCGCCGCTTTCTGTTACCGTGGCTGTTTTCCCGCCAATGCTACAGACACGCTTCGGATCGTTACGTCAGTCAAGTGGTTACATTATAGCAACAGTATGGTCAATCCTATTGTATACGCTCTTCGTGACGAGGAGATGAGAAATACGTTTTACAGGATTCTACGGTTCAAGGCTTGTAGGAATAAACTGACCATACCCAAAGCGCCATCGAAAACAAATCTGGCTACAAATTATACTTATAACTGTTCAAATAATAACCTTATCGGATCTAAGACACTTTTGTGAGGATAGCTATTATTGTGTCACGTAAGACTACGTCATGTGATGTACATGTCACGCGGTCAACTTATCGAACATTTCATGTCGTGACGTGGTGAACATATCACGTGATACTTTTTGATGCTGTCTTCGGTGACTTCTCTATTTAATACGTGATTGAAATCCTCACTTGCGATTGGTTATGTATCACGTGATGTAGAATCGTGATATGCGATTGGGTATATACATCACATGGTTCACCGTGATGTATACAACACGCGTTTAGAATCGTGACAAGTGATTGGTTATACACCACGTGATATCCATACCACGTGGTATAAACAATCAAACTATATTGTGATATACCACGTGATTGAAGACGACATAAGTAGCTATACATCATTTACATCACTTGAAAAACCATCACGTGGCGACACACAATGTGGCATGTGTCACGCGATATGCCCATGGAAAATGACAAATAGGATTCTTGAGTCCGAGAGTACAAACATTCATTACTTACTTATTTAGGTTGGTCTTTACATGGGACTCTTGCCCTGTTGACCATGCCCTCAATTAGATCTAAACATCTGGCTGTAAAGTTATTAAATAAATAAATAAATAAATAAATAAATGAATGAATGAATGAATAAATGAATAAATGAATGANTAAATAAATAAATAAATAAATAAATAAATAAATGAATGAATGAATGAATAAATGAATAAATGAATGAGTGAGTGAGTGAGTGAGTGAGTGAGTGAGTGAGTGAGTGAGTGAGTGAGTGAGTGAGTGAGTGAGTGAGTGAGTGAGTGAGTGAGTGAGTGAATGAATGAATGGATGAATGAATCATGACAACTTACCGAATAAAGTAACTGAAGGAATGAACACGTACCGGCCAGCACACTGCATGCCCGAGTGGTAACGGATTTGATCAATGACTTGCGTACTGGCTTCCCTATGAAAACGCGTAATAGATTGAGCTTGAATGCGCCATACTTCACTGAACTGTCTTGGGGGTCAAGAGTCTTTTTAAAGACCCATTGCCACTTACCGTGATGCACCGCGGTCACAGATGAATTTCGTGGTCCATGAAATTCAAAGATTCATATATTGAATAATAACTTCATATTAAATCCTTTTCCGACATAGCACTAAGGCACAATAATTACTCTTTTACATTCTTTGACGGCTTTAGGAACTATTTAATAGTTTATTCAAAATGTTGGGATTGTTTTTTCAGTGGAGACACGATTCAAAATGTAAACAAATTGTGATGCATCACGGTAAGTGGCAATGGGTCTTTAAAAAAACCTTATTTTAACCGATGCTGAGGGGAATATCTGTAATTAATTGCCCTTGGTCATGCATATGCATGGTAGTATATTTGTTAATAAATCCAATGAGTAAGATATAGTAGGTTTTTTCTTTGCATTTATGACCAATCATTTAGCAAACGCTCCTAAACTAAATATAAATGCGTCATTTCTCAATGTAACAACAATTATAATAATAGCTTAATCGATCGAAAAGTCACGGAATAAGCCTGAAGCGAGATGACGTTTTACCCCCAACTCTATACCATAATAGTTTTTAAAATTCTTTCATATTAAAATTTTTGATTCCTTAGAGAATACAGGAACAATAGTCATAATTAAAGAACAAAAGCARTGTGAAAAGGATTATGGTCTAGAGACGGGGGTAAAACGTCATCTCGATTCAGGCTTATCGAAGTCATGGAGGGAAAAGCAATTATTTGAATATAGTTGACTAAATATTTATTGTGAAACTACTAGAACCGACTTGCAAGTGCGCATGCTCAGTACCTAGCTAAAAAAGGACTGACGCACCATAGACACTGAAGCAATTTAAAAACCTAGGTCAAAAAAATAGAGAAAATAGGCAATGAAGTAAAGGCACCAATGCTTAACACTGATCTTATATTAATTCCGATTTCAGTAAAAACATGCTCATTCGAAAATTTCATTTTTTTCTTAAAAAATCGAAAAACAATTTTTAGCATTGGATTGTTTGCGTCCGCGTATTTGCGATTTGAAGGTGCAAGGTAGCGCGCGGATAAAACCCCATGGAGCCACCTAATGTTGATTAAGATGAATAGAAAGTAAAATACGATTTTTCGTATTTTTCTAGCATTTTTAGATAAATGTTAAAAAATAAAATTCTACCACTCCTTTTTATTTCGTAGATAAAAGTATTCAGATGTTGATTTTCGTGACATAATTAAAATAGTATTAAAGTCACTAATTAATACCAATTCGCTGAAAGGCGTACTCAAAATAATATAATTTTCGTATGAAATATTAATAATCTCCCCTATATATAGTCGTTTTAATCATGTCTTATTTGCCAAACATCTTAATTTAAAGCATATTGGGGGAAAATTGGATTGGAAACAGACCACCCGGCTTTAACGTGAAATCGAATTCTCTTCCTGAAAAATTCCAACGGGAGGATTATTGAAAGGTAAGGTTTCTTTTTTGCTTTTCAAAATAATAAAAGTATAATATTTGATAGCTGAATGACTGAATTAACCAAAGTTGATAGTTGAATGCCAATGATAATAATAATAATAATAATAATAATAATAATACGACTATTTTCAAAATTACGCGACCTGTGTAGTTAGAACTTGAAAGGTTTTTTTTGTGTTTTGGCTGCCGTCAATCAAACTTCAGACGATTTGTTTTCATTCAAAAAAGCCCAAAATGATCTTACAAAATGACCGTTTGAATATTACAGAAGGCAAGTTTGCTTCGTTTCAGAATTTTCAAAGCAAGGTTTTCGTAAGAGCAAGCCGTTTTCATATTTGAGTGACGGCAGCCAAAACACAGAAAACGAGACGAGTCGTGAGCAGCGCCGGTCGCGTAATTTTGAAAATAGGCGTGATAATAATATAATAATAAATCGTGATGGAATTTACTGATCAGTAATTCTACTCGGAATTTAAAAGTTGATGTTCGCGCAGGGAGGAAAACCAGAGAACCTGGAGAAAAACCCTCGAAGCAACAGGAAAGAACCAACAAACAACTCTACTCATTTTATTACATAACAAAAGATTTTTTGATTGCGTATACTGGGAAAATTGCTTTAGCGTTGATAGATTGCAATCCAATGTTCAAAAAACATGATTTTTTGGATACGTAGCACAAAAGGAGTACAGAAGTAACACAGGAACGACCGGGGCAAAAAAGGTAAATATAGGATATTTTTTAGAAGGAAAAAAGTTGTCATGAATCTTTGAATCATTCTATCTTGTTACTCGGTACTGACTAGTCAAATCTTCCTTTCTACATCGGAAGAAGCAAGTACCACTTTGTCATATTTCTTTTGGAGAAAGTTCCGCAATAGCTTGCTTTATTGTCAGAACATCATAAAATCTGTAACTACCTCTTGGTTCATAACTTCTGAAAATTCACATTGCTAAAATAAAATTTTAAACACAATGAAGTAACTTAGACGTTATAGAGATAGAGATTGAAGCTGAAAGAATGTAAGAGAGAATTACGAAAAACGCAGCTAAAGAGCGTATGACTGAGACTTCTTACTATCCAGATACTTTTGAAAAAATGATTTTTTACTTCGCGTCCACACATAGCGTTTTCATATCATTTTCACCCGTTCACGTTTTCGAAAAGATGCGTTTTCAAGGCCCATCCCCAAAGTAAAAATTCCGTTTTCAAAAATATCAGGATACTTGTGTAGAGTAGACGGGGCCTGAGTAGCAGGAGGTCGACCGTAATCAATTAAGAATAATTCTGTTTTTCGTTAAATCTCAATTTGAAGAGTTTTAATTTTGACTCACAGCAGTAAACGTGACAGTAAAAAGATTCTGGTTAAAGACTACCGAAATTAACAGTGAATGATGACTTCAAGACAGCGGGAGTCATCGAAATTAAAAACTTAATAATGATAGAGTAGGTCAGTTGATCAAGTTATTGCATTGTCGTCCGACTTGATGAGATTTTTTTTTTTTTTTTTCTTTTTTACATTGAGTGACAAAATGAGAAAATGAATTTAATGTTTGTCTGGATAGTTCCAGCAGAATATGAATGAATAAATAAAGCCTCGGGATCTGCTCTACTGTGAGTAATAAGGTTTGATCTTTCCGCGTCCGTACTCCGGATTTTCCAGTTTTCCTGCCTTCGCAAATCACCACGGTCTATAGACCCCTTGCATGTGACGCCAAAGCAGCTCGATCTGGGGGACAAAACAAAAGAATTCCAATCTCCTGAGAATTGGAACCTATTGTTTTGCCCCCCAGATTGAGCTGCGTTGCAAAGTGCTGCAAGGGGTCTATTGACCGCGTTCTCATAATGGCTGGCGAGCGCACGAAAATGGGGCCAGCCAGTCATCTTGCAAGGCTGAGCAAGGCAGCTCATTCAAAATAACGGTGGGTAGCGCGATTTCAGGTCAAAAAAAAATGGTCCAATTTCTATACTTTTCTTCTATAAACGCTTTTCTTGTGGTTTTATATCTTTCACTGTGAACTAATGCCCGAGTGATCTTGTTTTTGTGCACATGTGACCCCTTATGAGAATGATGTCAAACCTCTATTGAGCGGTCATCCTCGGGCAATAGCCAAGTGTGACCACCTAATAGAGGTTCACCGCTTTATAGAGGTCTCATAAGATATTGGTCTTGAGGTGTCTCTTGAAGTTCCTTGTAGATATTCAAGGGATGACAGTTTTTCATTTATGAATTGCATGCATTGTTGTATTATAAAATAACTGTTATAAATCTCGCGTTCTGATTGATTGGGAGCGCGTGCTTTATGTGAGCATACAGCACACGCGCGCACTTTCGGTTGCGTCATTTCTATCCAAAATAACGGTCATTGTAATTTGTATTTTATAAAAGAAAATTATAAAATTGCTCGCTGTGATGTATGGAGTTATAAAGCACTTGGGGATTGGCAGAACACTCGAGAAGTGTCGAGAAAGACTCTGTTACGCATCGTACTTCTCCTAACACTTCTCTCGTGTTCTGTCAACCCCCGCGTGCTTTATAACTTCACACAGCAGGCGCGCACGCTTTCTATTTCTTCACTCTTAATAAATTGTTTAAAAAAACTGGAAATGCGCTTATCGCCGTAATATATTGGCTCATGACTATAATCCTCACAAGGGACTGTTAAAGTAAGTAAAACAGCCCAGTAGTCAAGTGGGAAATATCATTATGGTGACTGCGTCTGCTAATTATGGGGTGACTAAATTGAGTTACAATAGTAGATAGAAGTACAAACGTCGCTGAACGTGTTCAAATACATCTATAATATAAGTATAGGCAAGAACCCTTTTTGAAAAAAATGTGTACTTACCGAATCAAGTTTCTAGAGAATTTTTTCTTCGTTTCTTGTCGTTTTCGTTGTTGTCATTTTTCTTTTCTTTTTTTTCTTTTCTCTTTCTTTTTTTATCCTCAATCCTGTATGGTAGACAAAACAAAATTTAGCTATGAATATTGTTATTGTTTATATAGTCTTGATTTGTCCGAAATCTCCAAAATTTCGATTTTAATGAAAGACATCCAAGGTAAATTTCACTAAACCTGATATTATATTGAATAATCTGTAGTTATCTTTCGTTTTTTTTAAGTAAAATTAACCAGGAATTCAAAGCTTAAAAATTTCGGCCATGTTGTCGAAGAATCCAAACAAAACTGGCCCCTGGGGGTGGTGGTGAGTTGTGTACAAAATTCCTAAGTGGGAGAGTATACTCGCGCAAAGAAAACAATGTAGTGCATTTCGATTCGATTTCACTGCATGGATTTTATTATGGGAGAAATTATCTTCATCTCGAATAAAAAATAATTGAAGATTTTTTCCCCGATCTTATTTTAACCTTTCAGTTTCATTCAAATTGGGCTCCCTGTGACTTGCGTATCGGGAGCTCCGCTTTTAGGCAGTGCCTAAATATATATTAAATTTTTAATTTGATTGAGTTCTAATCACTGGATAATTGCTTATTGAAATGAAACCGCTAAACAACGGATAGCAAGATCTAGAAAAATCGATGGGGGAAAAAACCTTTTAAGCAATCGTGGACAATTGTGGACTAATACTCAAGATATCTTACCACATAGCTTACGACTGGCAATAGATTGACAATTCTTTTTAGTATTTAATGGAAATACCAAGTCAATGTCAAACAACCCACCGTGTCGTATCAAGTTAAATTAAAAGATTTTTTTCTAAAAATTTAATGTAAATCCATTTTGAAAAATACACGAGAGGGAGTATGCCACGTTCGATATCTTAAGAGGAGACTTTAGTCTTAAGGTACTTCATGTATGGTATAAACAAGTGTATCACCAAATACATTTATTGGTAGGAATAAAATAATGCATGATATACCACGTACCTACATTTCGACAATATCAAGAAAACCTTTGTAGAAATGTTACTCAGTTTACTACACAACAACGTTCGTTTAATTTAATCTACAGCCCTATAGGGCACTACCCTGCGAGCAGAGGTCCCGTGGGGGGGGGGG